TGATTTTTTTATTCTCCGTCTTTCTTTATTGCGTATGACGATCGATAGCAGGGAAAATAATGACGTAGCAACATGGTAGATTGTATTGTTTTGTATTTTATTGTATCTTTTATTGTGTGGTATTGTATAGTTTTGTATTGTATTGTTTGGTATTGTGAGGTATTATAGTTTTGTATCTTTCGTTTGTGTGGTGTTGTATAGTTTTGTATCTTGTATTGTATGTTAAAGTTTAACATAGTGATGCATTTTGTTGAATGTTGTCTTGTATGTTACAGGATTTTATTTTCTGCAGTATTGAATGCTACAATATGGTATTGCATTATACTGTCTTGTTGTGTATTGTCATGTGTTGTATTGTATTGTTTTACATTGAAAACATCATTGAGAAATAACCACAATTACATCAATTTTCACATCAACATCAGCAATAAAGACATCACGAAACGACAGAGCGTGTTTGTTACACGTACATAGGTCCCATGAAAAATTGAAAAAATATGTCCTACATAAATTTCAATTACAAACAATTTAATTTATATAAATTAAGGTAAACAAGCGACAATATATACAAATATTTTTACATATATATACATATATATGTGTGTGTGTGTGTGTGTGTGTGTGTGTGTAAACGTAAAAAAAATAAAAACAAAGAAAAATAAACACAAATAAATGTTTCAATACACATATTTACGCTTTGTTGCTCAAACATTCACAATTTTCTCTTACAAAACACGTGAACGCACGCAATTTCTCCATCTTTCTCTCTCTCTCTCTCATCTTCTCTTTTTTTCTCACTTTCACTTTTCTCTGCTTTGTACTCTCTTTCACTTGTACTCTTTCACTCTGCTTTGTACTCTCTCTTTGTACTCACTTTCTCGTTCATTCTTCGTCGCCTTTTCCTTTCTGCCTATGTTTATTTTTGTATATTTATGTCACCATTTACTCTGTATCTTATTTTTTATCTTTTTTTCGCACATTTTTTTCTCTTTCTATCATCATCATCATCATCACCATCTTCGCCATCATTATCGACATCGTCATATTCATCGTCATCGTCGTCGTCGTCATCATCGTCGCCATGATTACTTTTTATTATCAGATTTTTTTCAATCAGCGAGTGTGCCTTCATTCCTCATCTTATCAGATCTCTCCGTCCATCAATCAAGAGTTCATCATTCATTCATTTATTTATTTATTTATTCATTCATTCATGCAGGCTTACATTTTTTCTATCTTCTATTCGTTCATTTATTTATCTTTTCCATCGTTCAATCATTTTCTTGACTGTTGGTTTGTCGTTTGCTTCCTTCATTTAGTTGTAATTTATACAATCTTTTATTCATTCAATCATGCATTCATTTGTTGGTTTATTCATTTATTTATTCATTCAATCATGCATTCATTTGTTGGTTTATTCATTTATTTATTCATTCAATCATTCATTCATTTGTTTATTTTTCTGTCAAAATTTCATTCATTCACGCGCCATCCTATCACTCGTCCATCAATCCGTTGGCAGCAAGCATTTTTTCTTTCAATGTTGTTGTTGACGTTGTTGTTGTTGTTGATGTTGTTGTTGTTGTTGTTCTGGATACTATTTCTTTTGTTTTTCATACACACACAAACACATATTTATACATGCATACCTATAGACATACATACATGAGGTTAGAAAAGGCTGGAAGAGGCTGGAAAATGTTTGGCATGGGACGCCACTCTCCCTGACACGTTTGCAGAGCGATTCATCAATCAAACCAGCTTAGAAAGTGGTTCAGCCACAACCAGGGCTTCTGACGAGAACCTTAAAAAATACGATAATGCCCTACCTTTAATAGAATTTCTTACAATTTGTGTTGAAGTCCTTGGTCCTATGGGCAAAGCTACATCCAAATTTTTTAAAGATTTTTGAAACTTCATAAGTGCAAGAACCGGAGACAAAAAGGAATTTTTCTTCGCCACGAACCACATGTCTTGTATGTTGCAGACATTCCTTCGTGTTCCGTGGATGAAAATATTCAAATGAATGCTGACACTTGCATACATGCATACATACATACATACATACATACATACATACATACATACATACATACATACATACATACATACATACATACATACATACATACATACATACATACATACATACAAACTAACAAACAAACCTACATACGTACATGCAAGCAAACATACATACATGCCTAAATTGAATGTACATTAGGAAAGATGAAACAGACAAACAAACGCATGAATCTCTAACGTGGAATTTTTTATGAGATATATACAATACAACAAAAATACAATTTGAAACATTCCATGAGTGTGTGTGTGTGTGATGTGTTTGTATGTGTATGTATTGTGAGTGTATGTGTGTATGTTACGCTTGGATGAATGTCTTAAAAAACTTGTTTGTTTAATATAAAAATTTTTTTTATATATGTATGTATGTATGCATGTTTTTATGTATGTATAGACTTGTATGTATGTTTGTATGTATGTATGTTTGTTAGTGCATAAGGATGTACTTTTTTTGCCAAGGGCAAGTGTAAACATCTTCCTAAATCGTAATGACATTATATAAATTATCAATAAAAAACAACAACAATAACAAAAACAATAATAGTAATAAATACTGATATTAACAACCATAATAATAATTTTAACAATAATAACCATAATAATAAATTACAGAAACGTCTGCTGTTTGACCCCGTCTCGACCTTACGTAATGAATGAATAAATAAATAAATGAATGAGTGAGCGAGTGATTGAACGAATGAATGAACTAATAAAGAAATGATGGCATGAATGAATGAAAAAATAAATGAATTATTGAATAAATGGATGAATTGTATAAATGAATGGATGAATTATTTAATTAATCAATTAATATAAAGATGAGTTGGTCAATGAATGAATGGATGAATTAATATATGAATGAGCAAAATTGATGAATTGATGTATGAATGAATTAAAGAAGGTAAAAATGTATTTGTGTAAGTGTGTGTGTATGTTTGTGTGTGTGTGTGTGTGTGCGTGCGTGTGTGTGTGAGCGCACCCGCCGATCTGAATATTTGTCTATGGCAAATAAATAATTAAGCAATCAATCGTACATAGGCCGTGAAATGTGTGCAGAAAATAATAATAATAATAATAATAACAACAAAATAATAATAATAAAAATAATAAAAAAATATTATTGAACGATATATTAAGAATACTTGACGTTATTATTACTGTTATTAAATTATTGATAATTATACTATCAATTAATAATAATAATATTATGTTTCACTGTACTATACGTTGTCTTGTCGTCGGCATCTTTCTCTTTCTCTCTTTCTCTTTCTCTCTCTCTCTCTCTCTCTCTCTCTCTCTCTCTCTCTCTCTGTGTGTGTGTGTGTGTGTGTGTGTGTATTTATTTTCCTAGTACTTGGGCGTATGTGTCTAAATGAGAGAGAGAAAAAGAGAGAAAGAAGAAAGAAAAAAAACGGAGAAAAGAGAGAATGTAATATCAGCGTGCATGTGTATATTATATATGCATATGTGTTTTTGTTTAATGCGCGTGTTTTGGTGTTGGCATATGTATGTGTAGTTTATATGTGTTTGTGTATGTGTGTGTTTGTGTAGTAGCAGTAGCAGTAGTGTGGTGACTGAACAAACACGATGGGGGCTGACAGATGACTGAATTGACATCACCATAAGACGTTCAAATTGCTGTCAGATTAGGATTAATAATAATTTCTGGATTATTTCTATTATTCTTAATAATTGTTCAATTAAATTATTATATAAATATATATATATATATACATACATACATATATACATACATACATACATATATACATACATACATATATACATACATTCATACATTCATACATACATCCATACGTATGTGTTAAACCTCTTTCCAGTATAAAATGACGCCTGGCAGCCTTAAAACATTCATTCTTATATTTTTCAACATCAAAAATAACAAAAAACAATAACAACTTCAACAATAATAATAACAATAATAACAACATTATTAATAATAATTAATATGACAGTAAAATAATTAACTTATTAAATAACTAAAGAGGTTTCATTTGATTCCAATATATATATATATATACTGCGTGAATGAATTTTTTAATAAAATAAAATAATTTAAAAATATTTCAGCAGGTGGTTTATATATATATATATATATATATATATATATATATATATATATATATATATATTTAATTATTTATACAAACATATTAAATTAATTTTAACTAAATATAAGTATATAAATCAATATTTTAGCTCTGAATTAAGGAGCGTATTTTCAAATACTAATGGATATACAGTGTGGTAATGTTTAATGGTCTTTTCAGTTTTTTAACACAGTAACAACGACAATTAAATCAACAGCATAACGATTAAGTTTACAGCGATTTAGTTAATTTATCAACAACAACATCTACAACAACAACAACCATAACAACAACAACAATGACATTCTTATTAATGACGTCATCCATGTTAACAGCAAAGGCATCGTCATCAGGGATATCAATTACGACACTGCTTCCATCATTATAATCAACAATAGCGACAACATCAACAAAATGTCATCTCAATCCAACAACAACAACAAAACTGAAACACTCCTTTCTTATATTTTAGCACTCGTGTCTGTACAAATGTTTCTACCTCTTGTAATAACAAGTACGATTAAAGATTTTGTTATAATGTTAATTAATTAATTCATTAACTCATTAATTCATTAATTTATTATGCATTCATTCATCCATTCATCGAAGAACATAAACATAAACAAAGCATAACTTCAACAAAGCAAACAACAGCATGACAACTACAACAACGAAACATAAAACGCCCACCTCCCTGAAAAAAAAACAGACACTATCCTTAAAAGCCCGCTAATCTCCTCCCCTCTCTGCCTAGCCACAATGAACAACAACAGCAACAACAACAAAACAACAACAAGAAGAAACACGATGGAGGTGAAGGAATACTGCCATTGGGAGACCTTCCAACCGGAATGCAGATCCGACGAAGTCGTCGTGTTTGCTTCCGCACTCTACGGACGCATGCGCAAAGGAAAATGTATAAAGACGGATCGGGATGATATCGGATGTTCCACTGACGTCAGAAGAATGGCTGACAGCAGATGCTCCGGAAGACAGGTGAGATGATGATGTAGAGAGGGAGAGAGAGAGAGAGAGAGAGAGAGAGAGAGGAGAGAGAGAGAGAAGAGAGAGAGAGAGGATAAAGGAAAAAGAAAAAATACTGAAAATGGTAATTAGAAGAGAGAAATAAAAAAGAAAGAAAAGAGAAAGAGAGAAAAAAGAGAGATAGAGAGGGAAAGAGAGCGAAAGATTTGAGTGAACGTTGAATGAATAATAATTTGTAAATCCCCGCCAGACATGTTGCATTGTCATCCCGGACAGAATGTTTGACAGCACTTCTCCTTGCCCTGAAGACCTCAAAGTTTACTTCATGGCTTCCTATATGTGTGTTAAAGGTAGTTTTATTAATACTCAGGCCATCTTTTACGTGTTATTCCATTTATTTTTTTTGTTCGTTCCTTCGTTCGTTCGTTTATAACTTCATGTATTTAATTAATATTATTTGTTTAATTAGCCATTCTTTTGTTAGTTTGTTTGTTTGTTAGTTAATTAATATTGTTTTTTAACAATTTACGGCTTTTTTTAATCAATTATAACATTTTTCCAAAAATTGGTTAATTTAAAAAGGCTAAACAAACATAACTTCCTTTCAAAAACCACAGTGCTCCAGCCTTTTTCAAACCAATGTACGAACAAACAACCAGCAACAAATCAACTTACCCAAGCATCTGCCAACAACAACAACAAGCCAACTACAACAAAATCATTACCATCATCAGCAACAGCCACAACAACAACATCTACGCCACCAACAACAACACTACCACATCCCTACAACGAATTATTCAACGACAACAACGACAACAACGTACAAAACAGAGGCTTCATTTCCAGTTGGGCCGCAAAGAACAACAAGTCAGGTTGCGGAACTTTATCTTTGCCCTGGATCATCAAGGTCAAACCGGGTCAAAAGATCAATTTAACCCTCATTGACTTCTACTACAACAGTAGCATAGCAAACGAATTTAATGGCGGTGACGTCATTAATCGCCATTACACAGATAGTCTCAAAAGTTGTTCGGTGGGTTGGAGCCGTTCGTTCATTCATCTATTTACCAATCCTCTCATCCACCTATCTTTTCATCTTTACCTGTCTATCTAACCGTCCATTTATTTATTCATTTGTTCAGTCGATCATTCATACATTCAATGATACATTCTTTCATTCATACATTCATTCACTCATTCATTCACCCCAAAAAAGCAGGTCATAGTCATAATAAGGGAGCCAACGACGGCGATACGCAGCCAATCCGTCTGTCATTTCCAGAACCAGGGCGTCAGAAACATCTACGTCACCGAGACCAACCTCGTAGAGGTCAGGGTCATCGCCCCCAATTTCACTGAAGAGATGGGTCACTTTCTGGTCAAATACAAAGGTCAGTGTATGAATGTATATGTGTATGAATGTATGTATGTATGTATGTATATATGCATGCATGCATGTATGTTTGCATGCATGTATGTATGTATCTATGCATGCGTGTGGATAGTTAATTAAGTTTGCGCGTAAGATTTAATTGCCGAGCTGACATTTTCTGCAATAGAAAAAAGTATAAATTGCCTTGAATGAAGATCGATTGAACAATGTCTTTTGTTGTTGTTGTTGTTGTTGTTGTTGATGATGATGATGTTATTGCTGTTGATGTTGTTGATGTAATAATTTCATACACAATCACATCAATGTCTATCTACATCATCACATCAGCGTCATCACACCAAACGACAACAACAAACCACATGATCTCTTAGATCATCACAACACCATCACGTTCAACACCACCACTATCACCACATCATCTTCATCTTCTTCATCCTCTTCACATCATCGCCATCATCATCTTCTTCATCTTTTTCATCCATCGTAGAGGCAAATGTTACATTGGAAGTATGCATGCTTACGTACAATGTTGCCGTCACACGGACATGATTTACGACCCAATCTGATAAAAAATTATGAATTAATTATTTGCGGTGGGGAAACCAACACAGACACACACACATACATACACACACCACACACACTCACACATACATAGATACACACACACACTCACATACACACACGCACACGCACAAGAGTTTACACATATACATAGACATATTTTTAATTTCTATCAAAATGACAATGATGAAATCAAAATGTTATTTAACTTAGTTTCAGTTTAATTCCTATTTTGAAAGTTCTTTTGAAATTTTTTTTCAACTTTTTGCTGTGAGGGCCGCATTGAGAACTATTTTACCTTTGAAGGGCCGCATATATACTTAAATAGCAAAATTTTTCGACCCGGAGGAGAATTTTTTTAAGATCTGTGGCTCTTTTTTATGGTCATAATGTCGGGCTGAAAATTGCATAAAATTTCCGTAGTTTGCCCACCTCTGAATTAGCGCTATACAAATAAATAAATTCTTAATAATAATAATAATAATAATAATAATAGACATACTTGCACGCACACACAAGTACTTATAATTATTTCTTTATCTATCCATCCATTCATCAGTCGTGAAATTTTGAGTTTGATTCATTCATCAATTTATTTATTCATTATCTAGGTATTTTATAAATGTGTTCGATAAACTGCTATAATCATTTTGATTTTAATATTCATTCTTTCGTTCGCTTGTTCGTTCGTTTCATTCATTCATTTATTCATTCATTCCTTCATTCATTCATCCGTCTATTCGAGCATAGTCTATTCATTCATTCATTCGTTTGTCTTTGTAATCATCAATCAATCCACTATATGACAGCTATAGGATGTCCAGATTTAACCCCGCCCGCCACAACTACGTCATCATCTTCAAAGGCCTGGTGGTTCAGGTCAAGGTCAAACTCTGACCAATCAACGTTCGGTTGTGTAGGCGAGACATGGAAGAGAGATTTGACATGCGTAGACAACAAATGGGTGAGGATGAAAAAAAGTAGTAGTAGTAATAGTGGTGGTGGAGGGGGTGGTGGTATTAGTCGTGTGGGTAGTTATGGTGAGGATAGTGATGGCATCAGTGATGATGATGATGATGGGGGTGAAACCATTTGGAGTGATGGTGATGATAAAGGAGATGTTTTTTGGAGGAAATGCGATAAAGAAACAAGTAAGGTTTTTTTTTAGTTTTTGTTTTGTTTTTGCTTATGATTAGTTCTTGGGTGATATTGTTTTGTCTTTGATGTTTATTGTTTGTTTGTTTTTTAATTGTTAGTGTGTTTGTTTGTTTGTTTTTGTGTTTGTTTGTTAATATATGGTTGATTTTCCAATTTATCAATCTTTTGTTTTCGGCTTTGTTAACTTTTTTTATTTGTTCTTTGGAACAAAAGTGAAAATTTAACGATTCAAGCTTCCACCGAGTTAAATGAGATTAGTGTGAGAAAAGGAATTAGTGAAATACCACGTTAGGGATGACGTCAGAGATTGATTGATTGACTGGTTGATTGAATCATAGTTAATTCGTTGATTGACAAATTGATTGATTGGTTGGTTAAGTGGATGGTTGAAAAAATGATTAATTAATCGTCTGTATGAATGATTGTATTGTTAGATTTGCTAGTGAATGAATGAATGAATTAATTAATTAATGAATTAATGAATGAATTAATGAATGAATAAATGAATGAATAGTTAAAAGATCGATCGATCAAATGATTGCAATGGTGTCAATTGATTGAAAGAAGAAAAGATAAATGATAAGATAAAAGAATGAAAGTTGCCGCAGCTGAAGAAGAAAAAGAAGATGATGATAATGATGATGACGACGACGATGATGATAGAGATGGCATGATAATGATAGTTATAATGATAATGGTGATGATGACCAAAATGATGAGGAAGATGATAATGATGGTAAAGATGAGGATGATGACTATGATGATGACGACCACAACTTTGGGTCATTAATCACTTTTTCGTCTGTTAAGTTGAGAATAAAATATTAAATAGGCAGGCGAAAAGGAAGAAGGAATGAATAAATAAATTAATGAACGAACGAACGAACTAACGAACGAATGAATGAACTGGGATGAAGAAATAAAAAAAATGACAAAGAGAGTTAATAGAAAGGTAGAAAAAAAGAAAGATTGAGAAGAACCGAGAAAAAAAGAGAGAAAAAGAGAAATTGTCACATAGAGAAAGAGAGAAAGAGAGAGAGAGAGAACATTGAATAGTTGACAATGATTTATTGTTTTAATTTTAAAATATATATATTCCGGGGCTTGTGAGTTGAGTGTTTACTTTTGCTGAAGTTTGAAAAATAATTGAAAATTTTATTAAATTTTTTATTTCTACATCGTTTTTGTCGTTTTTTCACTATTTATTTAATAAAATAAAAAAGTTACCCAAGACTTCACGAATGTTATTCGTTGTTGACCGCGATCTCTTTTCCCTGCAATCTTTCCAGTAGTTGTTAGATTTTCAATTCTTTCTTTCCGCGTGATGTGACCAATAAACTTTAACTTCCCCCGTCGTATTATCTGTAGTAATTTCTTCTTTTCATAACCGGACTGTTTTAATACATCTTCATTCGAAGTATGATAGGCCCAACTAATTTTAATAATTCTTCTCAAAGACCACATCTCAGCAGCGTTAATCTTTTTTTTTCCATTTCTTTAGAAATTGTCCAGGACTCTCAGAGCTGGGAACAGACGATGATTCAAGTTTTGAAATAATCCTTCCAGCACGCACGTGGAATAAAGGCTCGTCTACCTGGATGATGACGCTAACGACGGCTTCATTGCTGATGAGAATGAGAATTGCATCGCTGCACCACTGACCGACAGGAAAGATGTCAATGACGATTCTTGCAACATGCATCAAAGATACCCGTCTGGTCATTCTACACCTCGTAAAATCAATCGAAAGATCGAACTTGCTTCAAGTGCAGATGAAATCACGACAGGACAACGACGTCTGCCTATAGCTGTAGGAACCGAAACAACAAAAACGTGGCCTGAACGAAAAAGAAATAGCGGAGATATCAAAAGCAAAGACCTGGTCTGGTCTGGTCTGGTCTGGTCTGGTCTGGTCTGGTCTGGTCTGGTCTGGTCTGGTTGTACAACTTGCGGCGCAGAAGAGAATATGTCAGCAGGTGAAACTTCCACGGAACTGGAAAGGTCGGTTCCTGATCACCAGCAAGATGAATGACGTGATCTACAAGAGCTATGATCCTGCAAGGAAAGGACAAAGATGGAAGTTCGATGTTTCTATTACTGTCGGTATTGAAATAAACGTTCAACAAAGTTTGCGCTGGAAGCAGTTGTGTTCATCTATCGAAAATTTTGAACCTACGGAATAACGAACACTTGACGATCGTTGGAAGCTACAAAACTGGTGTTGGAAATGTAAAGATCATAGAAGTTATAACATCGGTCTTGGTAGTTACGAGGTAAAGGAGTTACAACATTATTAAATAAATATGCCTTAAATTAGGAAAACTAATTTTTCAACTGCCAATAAAACAAAAAAATAATCATCGACAACTACTCAAAAATTTGTGAGTGTATGTGTGCGTGTGTGTTTTTTTGTGTGCGTGCGTGCGTGTGTGTGAGTGCATGTGTGCGTGTGTGTGTGTGTGTGTGTGATTTATCGCTCGCATACACACCTGCCGACAATAAAAATCAATAGAATATGATTTATTGAGCTTAACTATTGATTATTTGTTATCAATAAAGATAAATTTTTCAATTTTTTTAAATTAAATTGAAAAATTGAATAATATACTTAGCAAATTCAACGTTTATGTTTAAATATTTGGTGTTTATTCTGTTGTAAACCTGGACATTTTTTGTAAAATTAATTTAGATTTACGTGCTGTTTACAAAATAAGAAAACATTTAGCTAAAACACAGTTTATAAAAAAGAAAGCAAAGAGAGAGAGAGAGAAAGAGAGAGAGAGAGAGAGAGAGAGAGAGAAATTCAAAAGCATCACGTGATTAATTTGGATGATGTCACGTGATCGGTCGTGTGACGTCATACAACTTCCGGGATATCCATCATGATATTGTTGCTGGAGTGGTTGCCGCTGCTGCTCCAGCTTCTGCGAATTTGATAAAATCAACGGAAACAAATCATTATTACTGATTATGACGCAATTTGTCTGACTATAATTATCATAATTATATAATAATTACGTCATAATTATTGTTGTTATTATTTATTTTATTAAAATGAAATAATTTTTTTATTTATAGCGTCCATATTGAGGTATTTTTCCGCAGGGAGCTTTTTAGCACCTAATTGTAAGTCTTCCAAATGTTTGCTAAATATTTTTTGTATAATATTTGTGTATGTTTTGTATGTTTTATGAGATTTGTATGTAATTTTGTGTATGTAAGCGTGTATGTGTGTGCTGTGTGTGTTTGTATATGTATGTGTGTTTTTGTGTATGTATGTGTGTATGAATGTTACGTGTGTGTTGTGTGTATGTATATATGTGCTGTGTATTTGTGTATGTAAGTGTGTATGTATGTGTTTTGTGTGTTTGTGTATGTATGTGTGTAAAGTTTGTTAGCCATCATATTTTATCGGTAAACGTAATAAAGAAATTCTAACATTTAAAGGTCAT